AGCTGCATCCATTTACTGATAAAAGCCTCAAAATTATTTTTTATACCTGAATAATGCTTCATTGTGTAAAAGTACCACTGATTTTTTATCCATTCCTAAGTTGATAGACATTTGGCTTGTTCCCAAGATTTAGCTATGACAAATTGTTCTTCTATAAACATGGGTGCATACAAATCACTGTGGTATGTTCTCAGTTCTTCTGGAAAAATACCCAGGAGGGGAATAGCTGGCTTGAACAGGACCTCCAATCCTTGTTTTTTGAAACAGGGCCTTGCTCTGTAGCTCAGGCTAGCTTTGAACTCACTATGTAGCCCATGCTGGCCTCGAACTCTCAGTGATCCTCCTGCCTCAGCCTCTGGAGTGCTGGGATTACTGTCATGCACCACCATCCCCAGCCCCAGAAGGAGGACTTCTGTGAGTAGACTTTTCTATATGATTTTTGATTTGGGGAGGTCGTATAAATTTTTATGTACTCAAAAATCAAGATTAAACCAGAAATGGGAAGAAAGACACTAAAATTGAAAGCATACTAAAACTAACCATCTGTGGTTTACTTTCACATTGTTCAGCCAAAACCCTTTTTTTTTTTTTTTTTTTTTTTTTTTTGGTGGAACTGGGGATTGAATTTAGGCTTTGTGCTTGCTGGGGAAGCACTTATTCTACTGAGCCATCTCCCCGGCCCCCAAAACCATTTTTGAAGAAAAAAAGATGAAATAATTTGTGGCAACATAGATTAATTTAGGTAAAAAGTCTACAACTGATTTTTACTATTCTCAACTTTTCCAAAAAGAAAAAAATATAAATTTGTAGGAGCCATTTTATACACTTTGTCTAAATATAGAACATAATGAGATCTCAGGAATTGAGACAAATGGGAGCTAGTTCACCAATCAATTACTATTTTCAAGATGCAGGCTTAAAATAATACATCTTTTCCTATGTGGCATTCTACATTCCTCATTCTTTGCATTAATAGAGGTCAGCAGCAGTGAACTTCTTCATCTTATTTCCTTTCCAAATGTACCTGTGTCATCATTAATCATTACTTCATTCTCTCCTGTGCTAAAGGAAGAATTAACCCATCTCTTCTCAAACAGTGTTTAGAATCATCGGAGGGAAGTTAAATTTTATGTCGCTTGAATATCCATTTATTAAAATTACTTGGTAGAGACAGGTTTCTTAGTCACATGTACGTGGATTCCAGTCATGGTGTTGCCACTTCATGCTTATGTGTCTTCATTGTTGTTAGTCTGAGCCTGAATCATTGTTTGAAGATGAAGAGTAATATGCACCATTTAGTTGTTTTGCAAGAAAGAACATCTTTGAATAATACCTGGCCCATGGTTGTAGTCAGTGAATGGTGGTGGCGGTACTGATTATTACATATCAAAATTTATTGCATATATTGGGCAGAAAGGAAAAAAGTCATAGGATTCAAAATACAGCTATTAAATAGGATCTAGAGAAGGTGGCTCTAGGAAAATCATCATTAAAATGTACCTACCTATGAACAGCTAAGCTGTGGGAGAATGCCAATTTTGCTACAGTGAACAATGATTCTGAGGTGTCAATAGGTAATTTGAGATATAAAGAAAAATTATAATTATTTTTCTCTTGGCGAGCATCTTATTTGAAATAAATGAAATCTCAAGCCTTTCAATGTTTTCTTTATAATATTAATGTTGTTAGCTTTGCAAGGTCTTTATTTTATATAAATGTGGAAATTATAGCTCAAAGAGGTTTAATGACTTCCTTAAGAACACATAGCCTAATAAGTGGAAGAGGTAGAGCCAGTATCCAGATTTCGTTAATAAGAGAATAGTATTTTTTTTTTCTGGGTTGCATTTAAAACCATCCTGATATACACATCCATGAATATAAAATGAATCTTTTTTTTAATTTA